TCCTTTTTCTCATGCTGAACAACAATATTTAATGCATCTGCATTACTGTAAGGGTAAGTTTAGGGTTGGGGTAGGTGTATACATTAATAAAACACAATCTAATAGGTAGAAAAAAATATTTATTGTTTGTTTCCTGTAGCTGTATCCCTTCTAGCCACAACCGCGAATATAACACATAATTACTGTATTTACACTACTGTAAGGGTAGGTTTAGGGTTGTGGTAGGTGTAGACATTAATAAACCATAATTTGACAGGTAGCATTTTTCATTGTCGAATTGTACTACCTACTGTTTTAATGGGAGGTAGCAAAATCTTGACAGGGTAGCGCAAATCGACAGAACACCGGCCCACTTTAGTTCACGACTGACTAAAGGCCTATTAAAATAATTTATAATAAAATAATTCATAATAATTAATTAAAAATAATTAATAATTAAATCCTAATGTAATTAAATCCTCATATAAGTCTGCAATAGTGCACTGTTCTCTACAGCCTTGTAATCCCTGAAAAATGACTTTTTTTTTCTTTAGCAAGGTGCCACTATCGGGGGAGTCAAAAGATAATTACGCCATCATTAGGGTTGCTAACTTCAGAAATTGAAAATTAGGGGGAATTGTGATTCTTTATAAGAAAATAAGGGACAGAATAAGGGAAACTCAAAATATTTGTACTGTACCGTAATGTCTGCCTGCAGTTAAAAAGTTATCAGAAATAATCACATTTGTTTTGCTTAACATATTTATGTACAGTTATTCTAAAAATAATTTTAATGGCATACAAAAAAAAAAGCCTGAGTAAATTGTATCATTATAGAATTGTGACTGCACAAGTAGTGTAGTAATTTAGGCGGTAGGCTAAACATACTGTGAAATTACATACAAATGACATGAAATTTGAAAGCATAACCCAAGTTTAACCCAAATATTCAGATGTCTGCAGCACATTTTATGGAGGACTGTTTCCTGATCCTGGTAGAGTAGACTACAATGCCGGCTGTTCTGACTCACAGACTGTAAGTAAGTTTTTTTTTATTTAAAGAATTTGCCACTGACGATTCAAACGCGAGTTTTGAGCGGTGTAGAGTAGCTCTTGTTGTTTGTCATTTCTCCGATCACAAATGCAGACATGGTTTTATGTTACGCTCCGGCCGGACAGGGGGGCATCACAACATGGTAAGGGGTGTAACATTTCCGTCACACGCTTGAGGTATTTGGCCAATCACAACGCACTGGATAGCTGGCCAATCAGAGCACACCTCGCTTTTTCAGAAAGATGAGCTTTGTAAAAATCGACGCATTTCGGAAAGGCTGGGCATAGAGGAGAAACAATAATGTACAGTATGTGGAAAATAATGTGTTTTTTTAACCTTAAACCGCATTAACACATTTCATTACACCAAATACACAAAATAATGTTCTTTTTAGCAGCAACATATGACCCCTTTAAATCCACCGAAGTTAATCTACTCTCCTGTCTGATTTGTGGTTAAGGCTAAAAGGGATACAGCTGCCGTATACTGGGCATGCGCATTTACATATTTTCCTAGCCAATAACGTGAAACCTATGAAAATGTTTTAAAAAGCACATGGCACCATAGTTTCATCACTTTACAGTGTCACAATGACTGTGTTTTTGCAGTAAATGACCTGTTGTAGTTTAATGAGTGGGAAGATGACATGCAACGTTGGCTGCATTGAAAACAGCCCTGCTGAAAAAAAACAGCTAAAACCAGCCTAAGCTGGTTGGCTGGTTTAGCTGGTCAACCAGCCTGGTCTTAGCTGGTCGTAAGGCTGGTTTTAGAGGGGCCATGCATACCATGCATACAGCGCCGGACACGATAGATTTTCTGGTATGCAAAACAAGTACTTTAAAGGAATTTCTTCGCTTATTGTCGTTACTGTGGCAGCCAACAACAGCACAGTTTAACCCTCCGCACATTTTTATATTTAGTTATATTGAAAAAGTTTAAATTCAGTCGATCTTTTTTTTACCCCGTTTTAACATGGATTTATGGAGTCCGGCTGACAAGATGGCGGATAGCAAAGGCGGCACATAATATCCGCGTTCTGATTGGTCAGCTTGCCTGTCAGTCAAGCTCCCTGCAAACGGTCAATTAACTCAGTAGTTCCTTGTTTGGTCTTGTGTATATATACTCCTTGTGTTTCTGATTTTCTTTGTCCTGTCTGTGACAATAATGTTAAGGTGTTGTGTGATTCATTTTCCTGAGTGTTGAATTAAAGACTGTTCCTTTGGATTATTCATCTTCATGCAGTAGCCTACTTATAGTGCAACCACTTTGACGATAGCTTATAATAACATTAATTGTTTTTTGTCTTTTATCAGCTGTAATACTCACCCACTTGCTTTTTTAGTTCAGAGATCTTGCCGCGATAGTAATTCACAACAATAGCTACAACTGCAGTCAAAAACAGCAGAACAGCAGCAGCTATCCCAACTATAACACCCGGAGACAGACCCAGATCAGGAAGAGAGACAGTGATTGAGGTATTAAAGGTACACTCTAAATATGCTGGGTTGTTTCAACCCAACTTTGGGTCAAATATGGACTAACCCAACCGTTGGGTTAAATTTTTACATTAAATGTTTAACCCAAAAGTTGGGTTAGTCCATATTTGACCCAAAGTTGGGTTGAAACAACCCAGCATTTTTTAGAGTGTAGCTGACCAAAGCAGAAAATCTTAAAAACAAAAAAGAGAAGTGAGGTCCTTTGGTCTTTACAGTGAAATGGAAATATTATGTTCAAAATATCACATTTAATTCATTTAATGTAGTATGCACTTACTTTGTAATTGTTTGTGAAATTTACTGGCAATTTCTGAGTAAAATGTTTTTCTACATTAATTCTTTGTCAAAATCTTTTATTTAAGTTTCTCATCTAATATTTATAATTTGGCCATTTAAATAGTTAAATAAATTATCAAACACAAACAAGTATCTGTTTTAAGGTGCTGACCAAACTAGTCTTTTAAAGACATGCCCTAAAAAGACTCACCACTGACAGAAACCAGGAATTGCTGCGAGCTCTCACGGCCTCTGATCTGTAGTTCATAAAGTCCAGTGTGTTCAGTTCTGGTGTTCTTGATGATCAGAGACCCAGTCTGATCCAGCTGCAGTCTGTCTTTGAATCTTTCATCAGCATCATTTAATGAAGTCTCGTTAGTTTCCACATCGATTTTAGCCAGGAGGACACCTTTATCTCCAAACCTCCACACTATCAGATCATCTCTTTGTATTTCAGTAACATTATTTTGTAGAGTGACAGAATCTCCCTCCATCACTGATACTGACTTCACTCCACCCGTCTCACCAACCACACCTGGAAAACAAATCAGATCAGAAAATTGGGGCAGTCTTGTACATTTTTCCCCCCTTGTGTAATTTGCCTTAAATTTCCGCTAATGTGACCGCACCTGTAAAGTTTTATAGCGTGGTTCAAACCGTACAGTGTAAAATAATGAAAGCCGAAACAACCTCACTATTTTATTGAATTAAAAAGATATAATCACGTCATGATTGAATTAAAAAGATATCCTTGAGATAGCCAACTCACCAATTACAGTAACATTTAACGTCTTAGTCGTAGTCTTTTCTCTAGAGAAAGATAGTTTATATTGTCCAGTGTGTCTGATTCTGGTGTTTCTGATGGTGAGAGAGCCGGTTATTTGGTCCACTTGCAATCTGTCTCTGAATCTCACATCATCGGTGACGAAAAAAGAGGTCAGGTCATTTTTTCTCGTTATTTGAGATATGACAAAGCCTTTAGGTCCAAACACCCACAGTAAAGTGTCATCGTTCAGTATTTCAGTAAGATTCGTGTGTAGAGTGACAGAATCTCCTTCCATCACTGACATCGTTATATCGGTTTCTGCATCAAACACACCTGCAGAACATAAATTAACAATTACATATAGATTAATCTGATACCACACCTCAGTAAACAGATTCAACCGAAAACTGTGCGAGACAGATACGGCATTATCGTGAATAATAATAATAATAATAATAGATAAAAAAAATTTATACAGTGTTTCATTTTATTATTATTATTATAAGACCCGCTCTTGCAACTCTCTGTTCTTATTCTTCTGTATCTTGCAACTAATGCTACACTCTTGATATTCAACATTACTATGTGTCATTAATTAAAAGCCAATCAGCATCAAAGTAGTGAATGAAATTTTGGGCGGCACCCCATTTTGCTTGTAGGTTATGCATCGTCAGTAATGTCTGTCTTCTGAAACCTTCAGAAGGTCTTAATGCTAGGAGAGACCGGGATGGTTGTAACATTTTTGACATTTCTTTCTGTATCTTGGAGTTCTTTTAATGCATTCAAAATGTGATTACAAATCTCTGCTATTAAATGGCATAGCTGTTATCTTTGCAGCACAAACATAAAATGCATGTTTTCATTTCAAACACAAGAAGTGAAATGTTACAATTCACCCTATGGGTTAGTTCGGTGAGATGATGACATGATATCCACCGAGGTGAGATGTAACATTATGTAATTAAGACTATGACCAAAAACATTTCTTAAAATGTTTAATCTTTAAGAACTGCCTCCCCTTTAATCGCAGAAGCGAAAGTTCCTTTTCGGTCCAATGTAGGCTAAGTGCCGCCGGACAGCAATTTCGTAAAGCCATTTGTCCCCTGCATGTGTGCTCTACAGACTTTTCCAACAGAAGTCGACGGCGACTGATTTAGGTGGGATTGGAAGACATTTTACAATGCACTTGTCGCAGCTGATGTCTAAAAAAAATTATAATAATTAAACTTCTGAAACAAAAATCCACTTACCGTCCACGAGTAATACGAAAACAGACAGCAATAACATCCTCTGCATATTTGTATAAGGTTGTGTAGGTTCCAAATGTAACAAAGATAAACAATGGAGATTAGTTTTCTTCACCCAAACCGGCTACAAGTGCGGATATCTTACAAATTCACTAACATCTAACAGAGAGCCTTTACAGCAACTGAGAATCACGGCTTTTCTTGAATATGTTAATGACGTTTAATGAGGACCCAGTAAATTTATCCTTGAAAGATAAGTTAGAGATGAACAGAACAGTAGCTTGCTGTGAATAGAGAGACAACAGCTCCCGATGGGCGTGCCCGCATATATGCAAGTGTCGACAGAGCTCCGCCCACCATTAACATAAACAGGGAACGCTCCACCCATTTGATCCATTTGGCTCAGCAGTGAGCGCCGCTTGTTTTCAGACATTGCAGGACATTTACAGAGTGGTGGGCGAACGGCCAGGGAGGGAATATGATTTATGCTTTTGCTTTGTTCACGATGAGCTTGTGGTGTCTGGTTGGTAAGTTAGCACAGAGTAATATGAATATTAATAATAAGCTTCTGTTTGGACTTGGTAAGGATTTTTTTCCTCAAACAAATGTAATGTGTGCCTGTTGAGTAATTTACTTAAAATAAAGAAATGTGTAAAACAAAAATGTATTATTTTGTTTTAAAACATTGATCATGAATGAGACAAATTCTAATCAGTGTTATATTTCACGCATTTTTAACATGTATAAAACTATGAACCTAGTCTATGAGCCAATCTTTAACATGTTAGCTGAGTAAGATTAAAACTGATCCAGATCATGCTTTATGTTTCACTTCTGTTTGCACGTGAAAATTGGTGCAGAAGAAACATCACCTGGGAGGAACAAATAAATCAATGATGAGTCGAGGCAAAGGATTTTGGGAAATGTAGTCTGTGAGAATAGTCCAGAGGAGAGTGCCCTCTTGTGGAACTCATGGGCACTCCAGCTGGTGATCATAGGCTATACACACTATTATAAATACCTTTATATGGAGGCATACACTGATGTCCACATCCATTGCTGCAGCATTTCTGATCGTCTGGACAGTCACTGTCATGAGAACACATCTCCGCACACACTCCTAACAATGCTTCTTCAACATTGTTTCTAGGACACACTCCTGGCTTTTCTGGTTCTGCTGACATACAAAACAAACAAAAAAAAAAACCACACACAACAGCTGTTAGTCCATCTCCTTCAAACTTGGAAGTTTGTCAATGTGTTGCTTGCGATTTCTTTGCAATTATGTCAAAGTAGCAATTTTAGTGAAAAGGGACCCTCAGCACTTGCAAATCAGTGGTTTTGTGATGCAGTCACCAAACTTAAGCAATAGCCACAAATGTATCTGCGTCAAACCAAAGTGGTTTAGAAACCTACCATTTATCCCTAAACTATTTCAAAGCCAAGGAGTGCCATTACAACATAGAACCTACCTGATGGTGTGTACTCATAGTAATGTTAATATAAAACAGGAAATCAGTTCATTTAAATACAATATATGAATAATTTATACCACCACAGTTACAGATTAAGTTATTTAATACACACAAGAAAAATCTAAATGGTAATACGTTTGCAGCAAAACGGACTGAACCCATTAAACCCATGCAATCAGATTGTTAAAACAAGTGGCTTGTATGGTAGTATTTCATTAACGACTTAAGTTACAATTAGCCCCAATGCTAAATTGCAAGTAAAAACATTTTGAGTGATGGCATACATACCTGGTAACCACCCTGTAACCAAATTAATGGCCCATAGAAATTATTACTTGCATAGCTATTTCTTCGTGCTGTGTAATGAAGTTAAGAGACCTCACCTGTGGCTGCTCCTTCAGCATCTGTTGTGCTCAAGTACACAGAGAGACACAATAAAGCAGCAATCAACGAGCAGCACACTCCAGCTGTCATCCTCTCGACCTGCGATCTCTCACACACTCAGTCGGAAAAAGCGCTGAATCGGTGGGTCAAGAGGGTCTTTTACTGCTTTTTGAAAATGCGTTTTTAAAGATCAAAGGAGGCCTGCCGCAACTCCAACTCGGATGAAACTCACCTGCCTGCAAGGAGCGCGATCTTGAAGACCCTGATTAGGTTGTTCAGGTGTGTTTGATGAGGGATGCTGCGTTCACGCTATATCGTAATAATTACCGTAATTACGAGATGACAACACGTAAAGATCTAGCTCTGACGATTAATTGAAACATTTATTTTTGCCCAGCCCTAGGTAAATGAGCCTTTGTACATCTGCAGGAAGGGTTATCCAGTAGTGTGTGATAGGAATCTTAACTGACATTGTGGCAAAATGGCCTGGAAGCACACATGACTCTTTTGTGTTGGTCCATTCTTCAATTTGCCAGAAGAGGTTGGCTTTGGTGATGGCTGGCTGGGAGGCAGTGGATTTCCAGCCACCATTGCAGAGGAGAGGTTCAATGAGGCCCATGGATGGAGATGCTCTGGAGAGGAGCGTGGAAACAGCGTTTTCGCTGCATCTGCAAGTCCAATGGTGGCTTGAATCTAAACCCCTGCAGAAACTGCTCTGTTATTGTGGTTACTGTAATTCTCCACAACATCAGAGAAAATGTCCAGCTTCCTGAGCAGGAAGAAGTATGCGGGTGCTGCTGATGGTTAAGATGCTGTTTCTGATGAATGATTTCCATTAATAAATTCATAATATGTTTAGTTAGTATTTTTTCTTTAAAAATTCAGTTTGAATGCTGTATTTTTATTTTATTTTTTCTATTTCTTCTGACATAATGTATTAAAAAACATTAAGTGTACAGTATATGTTTACCTTCTTGGTCTATATGGTTTCCCTGCAAACTTTATCGAAACCCATTTGCAAACAAGAAGCATATATTTGCTTTCTTGTACAAAGATTATTGAGATATTCCGCAATTCTATTTTACTTCTGTAAACACAACACATAACCACTTACAATGTAATCTCATAAAAATATATAGATATATGGTCATACGCTGACATTTATGAAATTATTTGTCATTTATTTGGGTATATTGTCTATAAGAATTACATTGATGTAATTATACAAATAAATTGTAATATTTTTTAAATATGTAAATACATTTATTTTACAATCACATAGCACTTTTTTGTCACTACCACCATGTTTTACACAAACCACTGCAGATATGTTGCATACATATCATATATGTACAGTACATATAACTTAAAATATGTTGTGTAATATATTGTTATGTGACATTTCTCTTGTGACAAAGATTTTTGCTTAATAAAACTTAACCTTTTTTTACAAGCCAAGGCTGCATTCAAAATGGCATAAATGTTTTCGGAGTGCACTTCGAAGGGAGCACAATTGTGATAATCATGCTTGAAGATTGTTAAAACTGAACTTGTAATAAAATTACTTGAACAGGACAACTTTCAGCTTTCGAAGTGATTGGTGACTAGCAACTCTCCACTCTGAATCGAAAACGGAATGAGTCTTTGAGAAAATTTGACCCATAGTGGATTCAATGTAATGCCACAAAAATTACGATATGAAAAAAAAAACATACAATCAATAAACTTTTAATATCAATACTTTTTTACACATTACAAAGAATAAATATCTGAATTTATTATTTACACAAATGTTTTTAACCACTATTTTTGACTGCCACTTCCCCACACCTGTGAGATAATGTCTTGTTCTAAACCTAAAGTAATCTTGACAAACTATATATCATTTGAAAGGTTTCAGACTCTAATTTTCATCTTTGGTACCTGTTTTTCAAGTAAATGACAGCACAATAGATAAATAGAGATAGATTCTCCATTTGTGATATGGTGCCAAACACACTCTTATTCTATAAATGTTTTTATGTGTTTTAGAGATTGAATTTATTATTTTGGAGTTGCCTTAGAACATTTAAATAGGCGGGTCAAATTGACCCGGGAAAAGAACAAACGTAACAATTTTATTTACGTGGACATGTCAAAACACATCAGCGTGTTGAAACTTTGCATGCATGTTCATGACCCTAAATGAGAAAAAGTAAAAAAAACTTAAGAAAAAAAACCCCATAAGTCAACTTATATTTCCGACAACTCAAAAATCAAATCGGGTCAAGTTGACCCGGAACAGCACATGACGGTTAATAGAACAATCACTTTATACTTTAATGTCAAACAGGACTTGAGTACTCCATCATCTCTGATCTATGTCATACATCAAATTAACAGACTATACATTTTCACTCATCTGAATTTTAGTAGTTAAAATTACAGTTGCAATTTAGTGTAAATTGGTGTTCATTTCAAAGTATGCAATTATTATATTTAAAGAAGGCAAAGAACCAAGTATTGTTACTGTATTGCTGCCGCCATGTCGTGAAGACACTGTGTGTTTGGTCTTCCAAAAGAGGACGATATCCGCTTCGTTATGCCTAGAGCTGATCTGTGCTGGCCGCTGAGGGAATACATCAACTTAGCGCTGTGGATTGCCGGATCGGCTTTCACTGTGGACGAAGCGGAGTCCAGCCCGGGGTCGTCACATGTGGTTGCCGCTCCTTTGTCGAATCCGCCGGCCGCGCCGTTCTCAAACCACTCTAGCCTGCGGCCTCAGCTCACGCTAGGCCGCCATGTGTTTCGTTGTGAAAGTGAAACTACTTTGGACACGACTAGAAATCAGTGGTTAAGTTGTATGAAGTGAAGTGAAGTGACGTGACGTGACATGTGGCCAAATATGGTGACCCATACTCGGAATTAGTGCTTGGATTGCCGGATCGGCTTTCACTGTGGACGAAGCGGAGTCCAGCCCGGGGTCGTCACATGTGGTTGCCGCTCCTTTGTCGAATCCGCCGGCCGCGCCGTTCTCAAACCACTCTAGCCTGCGGCCTCAGCTCACGCTAGGCCGCCATGTGTTTCGTTGTGAAAGTGAAACTACTTTGGACACGACTAGAAATCAGTGGTTAAGTTGTATGAAGTGAAGTGAAGTGACGTGACGTGACATGTGGCCAAATATGGTGACCCATACTCGGAAGTAGTGCTCTGCATTTACCCATCCAAAGTGCACACACACAGCAGTGAACACACACACACACACACACACTGTGAACACACACCCGGAGCAGTGGGCAGCTATTTATGCTGCGGTGCCCGGGGACCAGTTGGGGGTTCAGTGCCTTACTCAAGGGCACCTCAGTCGTGGTATTGAAGGTGGGAGAGAGCGCTGTACATTCACTCCCCCCACCTACAATCCCTGCCGGTACAAGACTCGAACCCGCAACCTTTGGACGAGTCCGACTCTCTAACCATTAGGCCACGACTTCCCCTATTTATTGAGGAAGTGTTGTAAACAGTATTTACAACACTGTTCCAGAACAGTTCAACCCAAATATTCATTTGTGTGCAGCACATTTTATGGAGGACTGTTTCCTGATCCTGGAAGAGTAGACTACAATGCCGGGTGTTCTGACTCATAGTCTGTAGGTACGTTTTCATTTAAAGGATTTGCCACTGATGATTCAAACGCGAGTTTTGAGCAGTGTAGAGTAGTGCTTGTTTGTAATTTCTCAGATCACAAATGCAGACATGGTTTTATGTTTACGCAGCGCGATGCTACACAACGCGTAAAAAGACAGTATAAATCATTATAATCCGTAATTATGTCCCCACTGGATGCAACAAATGCCTCGTTTATGGGTTTTCATGTTTTTTGTCTCGTCGGTCCAGGACACGGCATCACAGTATGGTGAGGGGCGTAACATTTTCGTCACACGCTTGAGGTATTCGGCCAATCACAACGCTTTTCAGACCGATGAGCTTTGTATAAATCGACGCGTTTCAAAAAGGCGAGGCATAGAGGAGAAACAATACTCGAGTCTACAGTATGTGGAAAATAATGTGTTTTTTCACTTTAAACCGCATGAACACATTTCATTACACCAAATACACAAAATAATGTTCTTTTTAGCAGCATCATATGACCCCTTTAAAATTGGTTTTAGTTTTAGGCCGCATTTAGACTGCATGATTCAAGTGACCCAAATTTTTCCTCCCATGTGGCACAGATCAGATATGGCCCACGACCATGTAAGCAGGAAAAAAAATCTCTGGGATTCCGATATTCTCCGATCGGTTTCAGGCCTCATTCATATGTGGAAATAAATCAGATATGAATCGGATGCGTTGCCTACATAATCACTGTCCTGAAGAATGTAATTATTGAATTAAAATGTTTCTCTTTGAATTCCATGTCAATAAATTAAACTCAATGTACTATTTAAATTGATTTGTGATGTCATATATGCTATTTTTGGTTTGTTTCATCAAGTGCAGTGTAAAATGCACACATCGGATACAGGTCACTTTTAAAAGAAATGTAAGCACGTTGTCCATAAATTCGGATATAGTCACAAAACCGGAATTGGTCATCAAGACTTGCAGTGTAAAAGCTGCCTTGGAGGCCTACGTCCTCCAGAGTTTAGCTCCAACCAGTTGCAACCATCTTGCCTGGAAGTAATCCTGAAGACCTTGATTAGCTGATTCAGGTGTGTTTAAATAAGGTTGAAGCTAAACTCAACCTAAGCAGGAGATTGGTCCACCAGGAGCAGGTTTGGACACCCCTGATCTAAACCATGATCATTAACACATCGAAAGACTAGAGTTACTCACCACCAATGGTCAGAATGAATTGCTTGTATTTGGTTCTTCTTCTGCCGCTGATCTTGAGTTTATAGAGTCCAGTGTGAATGGTTCTGATGTTATTGATGGTGAGATCTCCATAATCATCTAGGCTCAGTTTGCTCCTGAATCTCCCATCAGCACCAGGACACGTTCTCTTATTGGTCACTCCATGGATTTCAGCAATGAGATTGTTTTCATCTTCGTACCACCATTGTATCTTATCGTCTTTATGTATTTCAGTAAGACCAGTGGGTAGAGTGACAGATTCTCCTTCCTTCGCTGACTTATTGTCACCTGTCACAGCAGCACACAGTGGTTATTTTGGTTTGGCATGTTCACAGAAATTGCAGATATTGATGATTTACATATGAACTGTACAAAGAATGTGGGATGATTTGT